TATATGTGATAGGCCATTTTTCTCTTGTGCTGATTTCAATATTTTCTCTGTCTTTGGCTCTCAACATTTTGATCATGATGTCTGTAGGTGTGGAATTCTCTATATATTTTTTTCCATGTGGAATTTGTTCCAGCCAATCTACTATTGAACCCTTCTGGGGAAATATTCACTTCAGTTAAGGTACTTTTCAACTTCAGTATTTTCAGTTTTTGTAACTTCTATCTCTATTGATATTCTAGAAATGCAGAATCTTAGGCCCCACCCACATTAGCTGAATAAAAATCTGCATTTTAACAAGGTTCCCAGGTAATTCTGTGCACTTTGCCTAGTAATCCAATCAATGTTAGTATTGTTAACACAAGCCTCTTTGTTTAAGTATCTCAGCTTTGATAAGCTATGAAGTTAGGGCTTAAATACTTATTTTAATAAATAACTTAAAGGAAGTCTCATAGATGTGAAGTGAAAGTCATATAGCTAGTGGATAAAATTACTGAGATTCAAACAGATATTTTACTCCAAATTTTATCTGTTTAATATATGCTTATGCCTAAAATAATGAAAACATGTCTGCATCATTTTATCCTTAGTATAGCTGTAACCCCATGCCAACTCGTTGTGGAGAAAATATTGAATTAATCTTTCTATGTGGTGGTTGTATTTCTAAGGGTCAGGCGTCAGGATTCTGAGCCTCTCCTTACTTCTCTAGCCCCGCTCTGTGCTCAGTAGCTTTTTAGAATTTACAGCTCAGACTAAGGTTTAGTTTGTGGACCAAGTTAGAGGTTCTAGATCAAGTTTATCTGACCCCCCAGGCCCAGGTCCAAGATTCACTGGAACACGAGCTCAAGAGAAGGAAGGAGATGGCTTTCTGAGTACCTTGGAGAGCACCCTCCCTAACCTGAGACCTTTGAGGGCAGAGTAAAAGAATCCCTAGAAGAATTAGGTCCTAGATAGCTGGGCCTGAAAAGCAGTTATTGATTCTCCTGCTTATAGTGAACTAAGCTACGATAATATCACCACATCCATGGCCATCAAATACTATGTGACAGTAGAAGCTGTAGGCAAACCTTGGGAGGGGAGAGGTAAGCCAGGGCAAAGGGGGACAGGTTCTATAGGGAAATATACTTTACTACAGGCCTGGTGCACAAAATTTGTACACTCAGGGGAGTCCCTCAGCCCAGCCTGCACCCTCTCGCAGTCCGGGAGCCCTCGGGGGATGTCCAACTGTCAGTTTAGGCCTGCTCCCCAAACTTAAAGGAAGTCTCATAGATGTGAAGTGAAAGTCAAATAACTAGTGGATAAAATTACTGAGATTCAAACAGTCAGACATCCTTAGCGCTGCCGTGGAGGCGGGGGAGGCTCCCACCACTGCCCCACCACTGCCACTGCGCCACCAGCCATGAGCTCCTGCATTGAGTGTCTGCCCCCTGGTGGTCAGTGCACATCACAGTGTCGGTCATTCCGCCATTCGGTCGATTTGCATATTAGCCTTTTATTATATAGGATTGTAGGATGTTTGAAAATTTGGTCTTGGAATAATAGCTCACTAACTTCACCAACTCCTCCCTAAATACACACCAACTCTATTTTCTTTTTCCCAGATTCTGGGCTGGTCCCATACCATAAATATTACCAGGCCTGACTGATATTTCCCCTTAATTATGGCCAATAGGAAGAAAAGGGTTTCCTCTTAGCTACAGAAGAACTGAAAGGTAGTACTGGAGTGAACTTTGCAAGTTGCCTAAATCTTACTCCTTGCTTAAAATAACAATAAAATTAGGGGAGAATGAGTTCATGACTTGTCTAGGACCACATATATTGTTAGTGTCTACACGTTCTTTTTTTTATTTCAAAAATTATAAGGAACCACATAACTTACAGCAGTAAAGCACACTAAATGTGAACTGTGTGTTATTGAGGTTTGACTGTATCACCTTAGAAAATGAGCTAAAATGTACACATTTAGTAGTCAAGCCCAGGATTATTAGTGTTCTTGATTAAGCACACTGTTACTAATGCTTTAGAATATTTTTTGAATGATTTTGTAACTTTGACAGTTATTTTAACATTCCCTGTTATTAAAATTTAATATATTTTAATTACTATACCAGTCTCATCAAAACATTCATTAAATAGTAGTACTTTTTAAGGGGGTCTTACAAATTCACGAAGACGAATTATGTTGAAATGGAAATTAGATGTTATAATATACTACAAAGACACTTAGACAAACACCATAATGCACTGTGCAGTTAATTTAGTGAAGAACTCAAAACAACATCAGAGCTAATGCTGAGAACATTAAAAAGGCAGTATTAGAGCAGATATATTCCACAATAGATGTAAATTTATGCTCTCTGAGAACATACCTTTCCTCTTATATGTCTATTCCTATGCGGATATTAGTATTGAATGATGCAGGTTTTGAATTCTTGCTGGTCTTTATAAAGAACATCTTTGCATAGACTGCTCTACTGTTAATGTATGAGAATAAAATATTTTTTAATTTGTTTTGGTTCAATTTTGTTCTTGCATTTGGTTTTTATATTTGTTTTTATACCCTTAGGACACATGTATGTTTTTTACCTGCAAAAAATAAGTAAATGCCTTATATTCTTGTGTAAAGAGTATTTTATTTGAAAATATATTTTAAACTCTCCACCATATTAATTAATATATCTCTGCATTATAATTTTTAATGGTTACTTGATGCCCCACCTTACAGATTCCTACAAGCTATTCTTTTTTTTCTTTACATTTATATTTTTGACAGTGTGTTGCTGTTAATATAAGTTATAAGAAATGTACTTATACATGTATCTTTGGGCAATTATTTTCTTAGGTCATATTTCTAATAACAGAATTGCTACATTGCAGTGCATGCGCCTTTTAAGTCTTGGTAGAGTGGCCTCTAAATTGTTTTATAAATTATTTCCCAAATAGAAATTTATGAGACTGAATTCTTCCCAAACTTATGCCCACCCTGGATATCATTTTTCTTTATAATCTTTGCCAATGGTAAAGCCAAAAAGCATTTGCATTTTTTATTCGTAGTTTATGAGTTGCTTTCATATATTTATTCCTCATTTGCATTTTTTCTTTTATTACTTTCCCCTCTGTATCCATAGATCATTTTTATGGTAGTGTGATCTTCTTATAAATGTGTAAGAGATAATTAAATGAAGTCAATAAACCATTTCTTTCACATACTTAACAAATGTATTTTCCAAGTGATTTTCACTTGATTTTTTTCCCCCCCTGGAAGTAAGGTTTTAAATTTTTCTAGAGTAAAATCTGGTAGTCATTTCTTTTATGATTCGACAGCTTGCTATCCCTACCCAGAGACTAACTAAGAAAATTATTTTATGTTTTCTCTAGGTTCTTGGTGGTTTCCTGTAAGATGTTAAATCAAGAATCCACATGAAATTTATGTGATAGCGTGTATGACTGAGCGGCGTGCTCATCCCCTCTCCACCCATTGCCTAGTTTCCTAACATGGTTTCCTACCCACCTCCTTCTCCCCTCCCCCCACTTGGAAATTCCCCCGTCATCAGACTCTAAATTCTTATGAACTCTTGGGTTTGTGCCTGTACTCCTAAGGAGCTAGAGGCAATCTTTTGAATTTTATATTAATATTATACATATTCATGTATTATAGAAAATACTGATTTTTTTTTTTACCTGGCTGTTATTCTGTGGTTTGTTGTTGTTGTTGTTCTTCTTCTTCTCCTTCCAGATGAAATTTAGATGTGTTCTGTTAAAGTAAAATAAAACAAAAAATAAAGAAGTCACATCACTCAGCTTACTAAAGTTTTGATTGGATTTTGTTGAAGAATGTTGTGTCTTGCTATTTAGGAAAACAGTACATGTCTCCATTCACATCACTTCTTTTGTGTAAGTTCTGCCCAATTTTTGTTAATCTAGCCCTAAACTCAATGCTACTGTGAATGGAACTTATTTCTTATTACTATCATTGGCATAAGAGGAACAGTTGATTAAGTGACATCATGAGAATGAAACTGATCTGGTGTGATTTACTGAAAACATAACGGCCCTTATATTATGCCAAGAAATGTGTAACCTGAATTTAGTTGGAGGAAATGAGAGAGAGAGAGAGAGAGAGGATGGAAGGAAGAGAGAGAGCAAAAGTAGCAAAAGAGAGAGAGAGAGAGAGAGAGAGAGAGAGAAGATGGAAGGAAGAGAGAGAGCAAAAGTAGCAAAGTATTAACAACTGTGAATCTAAATAAACAGTTTATTCAGGTGTTTTATTCAGAATGAATCATCCTGTAACTTTTCTCTACATTTGAAATTTTTCAAAATGAAAAGGTAAAAGGGGTAAGAAAATGATTAACCACATGTTTAATGTAAAGATCAAAGCAATACATTGAACTTTTAGGATCCTAGTTTAATAAAAGTACCACCTAACGTAGTCATTCCTGGGAGAGGAACTTGTGTTTGCCTTTGATCTGATCTTCCTTTGAGTTTTGTGTACGTGGTCTTTTACCTAGTTTTAGAGCATCACTTTTGAAATCCAGTTTGGAGATGTTGCTTGCATTCCTTGGGGGAAACTTGCTGGTGGTGGGTATTAATCTTTCACTATATGGCAGGCCTGTATTTTTTTTAGTAATTTAGTTAAATATTTATGTTTTCATACGTGCAGCTGACATACATCTGTCTTTCTCAAGGTAGCTTTGAATCTAAAGTGACACTGGTTGTAGGTGGAGCCAGTTTCAGATCCTGAAGGTTTAGGGGGAGCCAGGGCTCCCAGGAAAAGTAGAGATGATTTTGGACAACCATCACCCAATTCACCAAATAAGGCGGGACTTCTAAAGACTGTCCCTGAGGAGAGGGGCTCGGAGACTTATGGGTAACGGAGTCCTGAATTGGATGGATTCCTGGGAGGAGGCGCAGAGAACTGGTCCTCGCAGCTCCCTCTGCGCATGTGCAGTTCTTCCTCATTGTTCGCCCGCTCCCTTGTTTCCAGCTTCGCGCGCGGGCAGATCGCCAGATAACGACGGAGCCTCCCGGCGTCCGCGTCGCTCGCTGACCGGGTCCCGCACGGAGGATGTGCACTGCAGGTGAGAGCCTCGTCTGGAGGGTTGCTTGGCCAGGTTTGTGCCCGCGCCTGGTGGAAGCCGCAACCTGCGCGAGCGGCATGCAGACTGACACCCTCCAGCTCTAGTTCCCGGCTCTGCTCTGCCTTTGCCCCTAGAGGAAGCCAAGTGACAGAGCAACTTGGCTGCAACCCTGCGGGTTCCAGGAAGGGGATGTGGACATGGGTTTCCCGGTCAGAATAAAGTGCGCTGAGAAAAGGCATGCACGTGTTCAAGGACTGTTTCCAGGAGCTCCTCGCATTTGCATGTGCCCCGGCCAACCACTCATTAGGGAGTGAAGTCCACCACCCCGGTGGAGATGAGACTCATCCTGGTAGCAGGTAGCTGTGCCTGCCGGCTAAGGGCAGGCGGTGGGTCTGCAGTCTCGCAGGCTGACTCAAGAGTTCGAGTTGGAACTACAGGTGGTGCAGATTCTAGCCTTGCCACCGAGTCTCCATGGGCACAATGATGAGCCTCTAAGATTCAGTCTCTCCGTCAGCAAAATGAAGTCATTCTTAAAACCTGTCTCCTGGTTGATCTGAGGATCGAGCAAGGGAGCACCTGTGAAGCACTCAGCACAGGTCCTGACAGTCACGAAGCACCTGGGAAATGTTACTGCCCTTTTCACTGTTCTTTCCATGAAGTGTATTATTTGTTCTCAAAGACCCCCTGTGAAATCGGGGTTAATCGCCCCGTTTTAACCAAGCAGTAGGCCGAGACCGGAGGTGACGTTTCATGGCCAGTCATGGCAGGAGCTGGGGAGGGATCCTCAAACAGCCTGATTTCCACGTCCCAGGCAGGGGTTTGCCCGGTAGCACGTCCTTCACAGCGCTCAGCGAGTGGCACTTCCCTGGAGCCGCAAGGAAGGACCTGGAGTGTGTGAGGACTGAGTCTTCCCTAGAGGCTCTTGAGGATTCTTGGTGTCTGCACAGAACCCTCGGGTTACTGCACAATTGAGCCTTCTAGACTCTTCCTTCATTGTCTGTCTGCCCTGTGCCCTCAGCAGTTTACAGACCCCTCAGTCACACTTTCTGGCAGTGGTTCCCAGTGTCCATCAGAATCACCTGGAGGCCTTGTTAAAACCCAACAGCGGCCTGGTCCCACCCCCAGCGTTTCTGGGTCAGTAAGTCTAGGGAGGGACCCAAGAATTTGCATTTCTACCAAGTTCCCAGGTGCTGCTGCTGGAGCTGCCGGTCTGGGACCACACCGTGAGAGCTGTTGTGGGGGGTGGTGAATTCCAAGAGACAGTGGGCCAGGGCTGAAGATTCCAGTTCATTAAATTTACCCCTTCCAGCCAGGTCCAAATTTCCCTGATCACTCAGCTCTTGGGAGGAAAGAGGGTGGGAACAGGAGCAGGACTCCCACCTGGGGGATCCCCACCCTCCCCAGATGGGCACCAGGGCAGAGATCCAAGGAACAAGCAGGGTCTGTATTTGCTTGCTCAGAAGCAGTTCCCCATCCTTCTGCCCTGAGGTTGTCAAGGCGCAGAGAACTGGTCCTGTGGTTTGTTGTTGTTGTTGTCAGTCAGTGAAAGCAAGGGCCAACTTTCCAAAGAGAGAGGTCAGCGGGGCTGAGGATGGGGGCAATAGGCAGGCTTCATGGGAAGGGAAACCCTTGGACAGGATGATGAGGACATGGTCTGGGAGGGAGGCCAGGGAGACACTATCTCTACTCCTCCCAGAAAAGCCTCCCGCATCAATTCTCTCATCCCTCTCCCGGGACCCTGCCCAGCCCTTAAACCATGCACATCGCCACATCTGGAATTTAGGGCTGTGCCACCCACCTGCCATGCCTGCCTTCATAGCAGCACAGGAAGGGTTTTCAAGGGTTCTATAATCCTGCCTCGTTTTAAAAGTGAACAATATGGAGCCTGAGGGAGTCATTGGCATAGGGTTAAGTATGAGGTTTCTGGAGCCAGACTGCCAGGGTTCAGAGCCCGGCTCTACCATATTACTTTAACGTTCTCCCCCTCAATTTCCTCTATAAAGTTGGAGTAATAAGAACACCTACATCTCGCTTTATTTTAAGGAATAAACGGGGTAACATCTATAAAGTACTTAGAACAATGCTGTTACATGGTGAGCAATATGCAACTATTGTCAGTATCATTAATGTTATTACACCTGGATTATTAAACTATTGTCGGTATCATTAATGTTCTTACACCTGCATTATTATCTCCATTTACATTATTCATTAGTGGCAGAACCAAAAGGAGCACCAAGGTCCCCTGACTGCAAATCCCAAGCCACGGCTTTGTCCACCATGTCTCAGTTAAATCAAAGCAAGTTTCTTAATAAAAAGTCCTTTGGAGACACTGCAAACCGAGGAGAACAAATCTCCTTTCCAAAAAAAAAACAAACAGATTTTCTTGAAGCACACCCATTCCTGTTGTCAGAGGTTCCGATGAATTCTTTAACCACAAGGAGTTAAAAACATACGTATAAAAGTACGTGAGCAGATTTCTATCAGGTTTTTATTGTTGTGTCATCTTCTACATTTTTAATGGAAATATTTAAAACATACAAAATAAAGAAAACTATATAATGACTCCCATATACTTGTCATAGCTTCAGCAATTTTCAAAATATGGGCCATTTTATTTCATCTATCTATACTCCCCCAACAGACACACACACACACACACACACACACACACTCCCCACCTTCCACCTTCCTCTACTGGATTATTTTAAAGTAAATCCCAAATATCAAAATAATTCAGAATGTCACATGTTTCATAATGGACCAAAGGGGTGGCCTGTTGTCCTTCCTATGCTATGATTTGTGTAACCAGGTCTTTCTTAGTTGGACTTTGCCTTGTTGTATACTTGTCGGCTATTGAATCGAGGGAGGTTATACCTTGTAAGATACCAATAAGAAACAATATGTATTCTCCCCAACGGAAGGCCTGCCTCTCTGAGCTCCTCCTGTTAGACCAGGGTTGCCAGAGGCCCCTCGACATACCTGCTCTTCCTGAGGGTCAGGGACATTCCCCCTCCCCTCCGGCCCCATGTGCTGTGGCACTAATCCGTGTGGATTTCTAGACAGCGCCATGAGGACTTCAAGGTAGACCATAGTTCCCATGATACCTTTTCTCCTCCCCTTTCTCCAGCTCTGCCTTCACGGTTCTCCACACTCTTCCAGGGGCGGAAGGAAATGAACACATCCGAGGTGAGTTGTTTACTTATTACCAGTTTTTTTCCTGTGAAATCTGAGTTCCTTTGCATTTTCAGTGAACACATTTTCTTATCAACTGTTTTTCTTTATTTTTATCATTTCCTGCATTATTATTTTCCTTTCCTTTCTTAATCTTCAAGTAGTTGCCAAGGTCTACATTTTCTTTTTATTCTACTATTGATTACCTTTGATGTGTTTAGCACAGATGTAAACATATGTGTCTCTCCACATCAGGAATGGTTTTTATAGTACCATCCAAATAGGATAGACTCCTCCCTCATCTCAAGCTTTGTGGAAATAATCTAATGCTTTTCTTTTTTCTCTTTTTTTAATAGAATAAATATTATTTGGGGAGTTTTTAGTTAACAGTCGCATCACACCTTTTTACTACTTGGATAATAATTATTTAAACTTTAGCATCCCTTTTCTGATTATTTTTTCAGTCCCAAGGTTGAAGGCAAAGTGACAAAATACTAATAATTGGTCAGATAGTCTTACCTACAATTTAGGGCTGCTTATTATGTTCTAGTCACTGTTAATTTTCTTACCCAGATTAGCTCAGATAATGCTGATGTTATGGGACAGGTACTTACTTTTGTTTTGTCTATTTTGTTTAGGTGGGTACTTTTATTATGCCTCTTTTGGGAGGATATAAGTAACAGGTTTAAGTAACTTTTTAAGAGGTTGGCTGGTATAGTTCTAAGGACACATCGTTAGACATTTGGCCAGAAAGACAGTTGAGGCCACATTCACTGCAAGCTCTCCACGCACTGTTGACTATAAGTTACCATCTGCTTATGGTTCAACTTGCTCAAGAGCTTGGGAGATATCTTAGGTGTAGGGTTGCCAGAGAAGACACAGGGCATATAAAACAAAGTATATCCTGCATGGGACATGCATATACTAAAAACTTATTTGTTGCTTATCTGAAGTTCAAATTTAACTGGCAACCCTACTTCGATAGAAAGGGTTTCAGGCACCGGTGCTGACCAATGGAGCTGGCGGTCCTAGCTCAACCAGGGGCCCTGACCTTCCCTGTCTTCTATGGCGGATTGCATTACCCCATCCCAGAGGGCCTGTGGTTGAACCGACGAGGCCACTGTAGCATCACCGTCCATCCCTGTAGCAGCTCCTCTTCCAAAGTTTCAGGAATTCTCAGGCGTGGTTCCCACAGCTTTGTCAAAAACTATAAAACTTTGCCCACATACCCTTTATAAATAGTTTTTAAAAAAATGTTTCCTGTTCAGTTAGCCCCATGCACTCTTCCCTTTCACACCTGTAAGCCACCCACGGTCAGTCCTTTCTGATCTACCGGAACCAGTTCTTCAGCCCTTCTCTCTTCCACCATCATTCCTGGAAGCCAGGTCTTCTTCCTCAGGTTCTGCTGAGTTTTGATAGAGACCCCTGGAGGGTTGCACGGAATGACTGTGTGGTTACATGCCTTCTGAGGCGAGGTATCTGAAAGTGCCTTTATTCTGCCCCGTTACATGAATGGTTGATTGCTTACAGGATTTGGGTTTGAAATCCTTTTCCTTCAGAGCATTAGGAGAAAAGATCATCTCCATGGTCTCCTGGCATTTGGAAAGACATGGAGAAGTCACGCGGCAGTTTATTCTCGTGTGTGTGTGTGTGTGTGTGTGTGTGTGTGTGTGTGTGTGTTGTTTTGTTTTTTTTTCCTTCTTGCAAGTTTGTCTTTACCCTGGGGTTTCAGATGTTTCACCAGGCAGTGCCTGGTTATTTGTTCTTTTTTCAGGCTGCCTGCTCGGTAATTGGATGGTCCTGTTAGGATGAAGACTCAGGCGTTCCGGGATGTTTTCCGTTACTTCTCAGATGGTTTCTCCTTCCCTCCAGCTCTTTGTTCTTGTCGCCCAGAAATCCCATTAGACTGTCAGTGCCTCTCCCGACCGGCGTCTGTGATTTCTTACTTTTCTTTCATCGTTTTCGTTTTTCTCTGTTTTTTGTTCTATGTGTTGAGAGATTTGCTCATTTTTGTCACCTGTATGGTTTGGTTTTCCAGCCTTCTCTTGAGAGTTTGTTTTTCTGTTTTCATAAGACAGCAATAAAATATTTAGGGTCTGTGGACTTCTTTTTTCATACCTCACTTTTCTCATTTCATAGAAGACTCTTTCATCAATTTGGGAACATCTATTGGAATTCTTAAAAGTTATTCTCTTTGATAGGGGAATTAAACTTGTTTTCATAGTCTTCAGTCTGTTCTCAGTATTTACCTTTCAGGCTGCTGATTTTTATTGACAGGAGATTTGTTTAACAGTCTTCAAGTCTGTTCTTGAGGCTTCTTTTTCAGATGGTTGTTTTCCCCCCTACATTGAGGCCTTTTTTGTCTTTTGTGTGAAAAGAAAGGTAAAACCCTCATTATATCAATTTGGTAGCTGATGTGTGTTACTTGGCAACCAGAGGCCTGTTTCCTTGGCAAGCTTTTCACTGGAATGAAAGGATGACTCGGGGTCTCCCACGTGAATAGTTGGGACATGTGTACAGACAGGCTTCTCTTTAGTCTGTACAGAGGGGGACAAAGCTCGAGGGGACCCCGTTTCTCCTGCCAAATGGGGCAGTGCCTTACCTGAGCGTATCAGTCTGTTTCCCTAGAGTTGCCTTAAAAGAAAAGCTGTGACCGTATCAGGGTGCTAAGCACAGTACTCTGATTGTCTCTTGGGTTGCAAAGTTCATGCAAACACGTGGAGGAGGTTCCCTGCCTGTTATAGAGACCTGGCCTCCTGAGTGTTAACCCTCAGCTATCCCCTGAGCAGGGAAGGAACCACCCGAGGAGGAGGTGGGCCTTCTGTTACTCCTGCTCCCTCTTCTGCGGCCCCGCGTCCACTAGAGTTTCCTGAGCTGGGAGGTCTCGCCAGGCTCTGCACGGAGCCTGAGACTTTGCCACACTCTGTATTAAGGGGTGAGCACAGTGCTGCCACTATCTCCCTCCTCCTCTACATCTTCCAGAAGCCAGTCAGCGTTTCTCACTTGCCGCCATCCTCTTTCCCCATGTGCCTCTGTTCTGATACACATATTAGTGTTTTTATGTCTCTTCTTGCTGTAGTTTCAGAGGCAGAGGAGATTGGGTGTGTGTGTGTGTGTGTGTGTGTGTGTGTGTGTGTGTGTGTCCAGCCCATTGCATCGAGTTAGGAGAGCACTTATTCTTGAAATTGTCACCACCAGACAGCATTTATTTGATGGCTGCTTTTGGGGCACCACAGTGGACCAGACCAGGACTGTTCTAGATGCCGCAGATACAGCTGCTAACTCCTGGTTCCTGTTCCTTCGTCGTCACCAGGCCCACTGGCCTTGCCCTGCTGCCCCCAGGCTCTGTCCCCTTGGTCTCCATGCTCTTTGTGAGCAAGGTCCCTGTTCGGATGGCTTCTGCTACCACTGAGATGTTCCTGGTTTCTAAAAATACATCCTAACCCTACACCTCTCTCCTGAGCCCCAGCTGTCACCTCAACATCTCCACCCGTGGGTGCCACGGACGCCTTCAGTATAACATGTCCAAGAGTCAGCTCTCTCCTCCTGCCCAATCTGCTCCCTCTCCTATTTTGCCAATCTCAGTATCTGGCATCAGCATTGACCCAGCTGCTCTGGCACTTACCTGGGACTACTGCTCCTTTCCCCTCCTCATTCCATAAACAATTACTAACTAATTCCATTTAGAATCAGCTCCCACTTCTAAATCCTTTTGCTGCTACGTTAAAGTAGGTGGTCATCTCTTTTCATAGTCTATTACCTTCCTCTCTGACTTCTCTTGGAAACAGGCTTTCTTAAACTTCAACACTATCAATATTTTGGGCCAGATAATTATTTTTTTAAAAAACAATAACATGTTTTTATGGATTTTTAGAGAGCGAGAGGAAAGGAGAGGGATAAAGAGATAGAAACATTGAGAGAGAAATCACAGCTGCCTCCTGTACACCCTGCAACCTGGGCATGTGCCCTGACCAGGAATTGAACCAGTGACCTCTTGGTTACTGGGTCGATGCTCAACCACTGAGCCACACCAGCCAGACCAGATAAGTCCTTACTGTAGAAGCTGGCCTATGCATTGTAGGATATTTAGTAGTATCTCTGGACTCTACCCACCATATACCAGTAGCACCCTTTCCTCAGTTGTGACAACAAGACATGTCTCCAGACATTGCCAAATCCCCCATGAGTGGCAAAATTATGTCTGATTGAGAACCACAGCTTCGAAACACCTGGCACTCGGCTTCTAGAACACTGCTTTCAATTTATAATTCTGATGTGTCACTTGTTTACATGGCCCCATCGTCCTCAGAAGCAATCTTCAAAGCAGGCATGTTGGCCCCAGAGAACTGCACAATCAGGTCTTATGTGGCCTGTAAATAAAGTACTAGAATGCACTTTTATGCTTCTTTTGTATCTAAAAAGCTCAGGAAAGGTAAGTTTTACTTTTGGTGTATGGCTGAGAGTCATAGACATCGAGTGTAATTTATAAGAAATACCCAGTAACTTTTTAAAAAAATATATTTTTTATTGATTTCAGAGAGGAAGGGAGAGGGAGAGAGCACGATAGAAACATCAATGATGAGAGACAGTCATTGATTGGCTGCCTCCTGCATGCCCCTCACTGGGGATCGAGCCTGCAAACCTGGAGAAAGATCCAGTAACTGTTACTGATGGGATGACCAAGTATTTGGAGGCCACTGCTCTATAGAGGAAAGTCCAAAATTTCTCCATGTCTGACCACTAAATACCTCCTACTATTCTATGTCTCATCAAAGCCTCCCACCTTATTCTATCACGCTGTACTACTTGCAATTCCCTTAACTGAATGTGCATTTTTAGTGTGTCTATATCTTGGCTTATACTGTTGTCTCTTATTCACACAAAACTCACTGTTGGTGTGCAACCACATCTTTATCTCCTCAATGCAGCATAACCTGAAAAAACACACAAAAAAATGTAACCCTTTGTGACCTCACTCTGTCCACACAGTTTTTCATGGCTCCCATAATTCACTGTTGCACATGTCTATTTCTGTAGAAATTCGCCTCATCAGTCTGTCAATGCCTTAAGAACAGGACCAGTGTCTTATTCTCCTTGGCGTCCTCCAAAACCAGAACAGTTCTAAGCAGGCAGAGGAACTCAGGTTGCTTTATGAATTAATAAACAGGCATGGAAGCAGAGTATTTCTGTTATGATTTCTGTCTTTCCCACAAGTACATAGACATCCCTTGTAATATTTCCTGGTAAACTCTTAACGGTGAGCATAGTAAGATTAGTTCCCAGATGTCTTTCTCATGCCCTCTGGTCTTGAGCACTTCAGACTGAGCAGCATTGGGCTATTTCAGGGGTCAGTGTCGTTCGAGGATATATCTGTGGCCTTCACCCGGGATGAGTGGCAGCTGCTGGACTCTGCTCAGAGGCACCTGTACAGGGACGTCATGCTGGAGAACTACAGGCACCTGTTGTCCCTGGGTAAGCACAGCCCCATGCAACTCCCAACAGCATGCACTTCCTTTCTTAGGAACCACATCAATGTAGAATATTATGAGTTTTCGGCTTGAGAATTCGGATTAAAAGATCCTTTTAAGAAACTTGAAAGAATATTGCATTCTCACCTCCCCAGTGAAAGAGTCTTTTTCGACGAGGGCTCCATCATGGTTCAGCTTCTAAAGCTTCTCCCGTCTGATTCCTCAAAGGGCCTGAGCCCTAAGAAACGTTGCCAAGTCCCCTGTCATTTCCCATAACAGGGCACTGTGTCGCCAAACCTGAGCTGATATTCAAGTTGGAGCAAGGAGAAGAACCACGGATAGTAAAGGGAGAGTTCCCGAGTCAGAGCCACCCAGGTGAGTTAATGAAGTCAGGTCAAGGCAACTGGTAGAAACTGAATCCCAAGAGTCCAGGTCAAGGGTTGGTATCTTTGAAATATGTTTCAGAAATCTCTTATAGAGGCTCCACTTTTAGACATGACTAAAGACAAATAAGTACCATACCTTAGCTATGAAACCTCCAAATTTCACTTTCAAATACAATTTTTAAATTTTCTGTTTGACATGTATGGAGAGAGATTTGCTTGGGTTTTGTGGCATCCATTTGCTGCCTCCCTCATCTTAGACCTTTGTTTCTCTGTTTTCCTCTCTGTTCAACAATGGCCATTGTTCACCTTCCCACCGGTGCTACACACTCTATAGAGATGCATTTATTGATACATTCTTTTATTCAACAAATATTTAGTTATTTAATGCCTGCTGTGCACCAGTCACATTCCAAGCACAGGGGTACAAAAGCAAAGTCTCTAGTCCTATCAGTAGACCTGGTGAGCAGAGAAATATGCAGTATGCCTGGTGGTAATCAGCACCCTGAAAAGTTAAAGTCAGGTGAAGGGGATAGAGATTTGCAGGGAAGTCAGGAATGGCCTCTTTGAGGAGGAAGAAAAGTGGAATGGAGGGAGACATGGGTTACCTGCGAGATTTCCAGATGGAGGCAGCAGCCGGTGCCAAGCCTCTGAGACAGGAGTGCACTTGGTGTAATCAGGGAACAGCAAGGAAGTCAGAGAGGGTTTATTGAGGAGAAATTAGCAAGTGATGGCAGAGTTACCTGGGGGCAAAACCTTTCAGTCCTGGTAAAGACTGAATTCTACTGTGAGGGAGACAATGGGTAAGAGAAGAAGTCAAGAACTATACCCTTAAGCACTACATTTGCAAGTCAGGAAGACACAGGATTCTAGCAAGAGAGACTGAGAAGGAGCATCCACTCTATAGGGGGAGAGTCAGGAGACAGGGGTGTTCAGAAGCCACATAAACAGTGTTTTTTGAAGGAAGGAGTGGATTCCAATATACAGATACAAGTGTAAAGTCAGCCTTGTCCCTTCTTTTCCTGAAAATTACCCAAAGGCCACAAGGAGAAAAGTCAACTCTATATTTGTTGTAGGTGGGAGGCAGCTGAAATCTCAAACATAATAATAACAAATTTTAAAGGTGGAAAACTGCCAAAAGCAATGGAAATCAGGAAGTAGATCATGGAAGTAGAAGTGCTTAGGAAATAGTGTGAGAACATATTGTACAGATAGTATTTACTTGTAATATTTATCACAAATGGAATTTAAAAGAGAGTCGATCATGGAAGTAGAAGTGCTTAGGAAATAGTGTGAGAACATATTGTACAGATAGTATTTACTTGTAATATTTATCACAAATGGATTTTAAAAGAGTGAGTATATATATATATATAAAATATACTTTATTGATTTTTTATAGAGAGGAAGGGAGAGGGATAGAGAGTTAGAAACATCGATCAGCTGCCTCCTGCACACACCCTACTGGGGACGTGCCCGCAGCCAAGGTACATGCCCTTGACGGGAATTGAACCTGGGACCCTTCAGTCCGCAGGCCGACGCTCAATCCACTGAGCCAAAACGGTTAGGGCAGAGGATATATATTTTTTAAACAACAGGAAAGTAGCATTGCCCTGAAGGATGTCTGGGTTCCGAGAAGAGCTAAGGATGGAATGTGTGCTAACTCAGTGAAGAACATGAAAGTAGGTTTGTGTTTGGAAATGCACAATATATGGGATTAAATATCCTGATTTTGTAGAAGCTAACAATATTGTAGACTTGTGGGATGATCATATGAAGATGTATTGTGAATTTAGGCATATGAAACTAGTATCAACTCTTAAGTATAAACAATCAACATCAAATTTTCCTCTATCCGCTACAGAAAAGTCATAAACTTTTAAACACACAGTTGATGTTATTGAATAAAATGAGAATAGCAGAGGATAACAATAATTACCCATAGCCAAAAATTTTTAAGATGAAAATTAGTATTGGTCCTAGGATCAAGTTGAATAGCCAGGTACTTGAGCTCCCACAGATAAGGAGAAATCAGAGAGGAAGAAAACATGACATAAACGTGGAAATAAATATTAGTATTGTGACTGCAGACTGAAAGTGGAAAAAGTAGAGTGTCAATCAGGACAGATTATATTGTTTAACTCTGATAGATCAAATGATAGCACCAGCAATCAAAACACAGAGGGGAGTTGGATCCTGTTGTAAGCATGGCTTGTCCTCTCATATATTTTAACATTCTCTTTGGACATTGTTTTTCCATATCACAGCTATATGGAGAGATGGAGCCAGAACTATAGGACTGACCAGAGGAAATGAATGATTTTATAAATATATGTGTGAGTTGGTATACAGAATGGGAAAGAAGAGGAAGAGATTAGAAGCATGTAGACTGTAAGAAGGATCCTGCTGCATTATTTAAAGCATAAGGAGAGGATAAGGTTCTAGTCTTTAATCTGCCCCCAAACTTAATCTTTGCTCTGATACGTCCCTTGGTCACCCTTTAGTCTTCCTTGTCTCCCTACTCAGTGTCCCTTATCTTCGCCCCATTCTTTGACTAACCTCCATCCTTGGATCAATTGTTTTCCTGACGTCCTTTGTTCTCAGTTCACCATTCCTTCTGCTTTATTTCAAACTCTCTACCTATTTTAATGTTATATTGTAACAAGCCAAACCTACTAGATTAATTTTCAGCTTTTTCTCTCTTTTTCTACTATGGTATATGTTTTTGTCTTTGTTTTCATGTTACCAAACAAAAGAGTTAAATATTTGCTTAAGAGTTCTTTCAGCCCAGTAGACTATGTCTAAAACCTAAGAATCAACTCAATATAGGGCACTTGTATACAACCCCATTGCTTTAAGAATATGTTAAGATTTATAATGTATGTTAATTTTTCATATTTATAGAAGTCCAGAAAGTCAATAACATGAAAGAGAGAAGCCAAGAAAATGAAGATATATATCCAAAGCAAGCTTTATTCAGCAACAACAAAACAATGACTAAGGAGAGAAGTAAAACCTTAGGAGAAGAAATTAATATGGCCACAAACCCAGTGTCTTCAAGAAAAATATCTCATAAATGTGACTCATTTGGAACAAACTTGAAAAGTGTTTCAGAATTAATTCTTAGTAATAGAATCCATGCAATAAACAAGCCCAACAATTTCAACGGATGTGTATTCCTTGATACTATGCATGAGAAAACTCATACAATGAGCAAGCCCTGTGACAATGATCAAAAGAAGTCCCACAGTCATAATGATTACTTTAGTCAACATCAGAAGAATTCAGCTTCAGAGCAACTTCTTACATATAATAATTGTGGGAAAGCCTTTCACAAAAAAACAGCCTTTGTTACATATAAGAGAGTTCCCACAGGAGAGAACCCCTCTGAAGGTAAAAAACATAGAACAACCTTCAAGCAAAAGTTAAAGTTCAGTGCTTATCTGAAAACCCTTAGGGAAAGGAAGCCACATGAATCCAGTAAAAATGGGAAATCTTCATGGGTAAAGCCAAAACGTGCACATCAGAGAACTCACATAGGGGAGAAACACTCCGAATGTAATAAATTGGAGAAATCCTGTAGCAAGAAGTCAAACCTTACTCAACATCAGAGAATCCACACAGGAGGAAAACCTGATGAGTATAATGGAAGTGCGGAAGCCTTGCAGAAGTCATGCCACACTCAAGATGAGAGAACTCACAGAGGAGAGAAAATCTATGACTGTAATAAATGTGGGAAATCCTTCCATGAAAAGTCATGCTTTACTCAACATCAGAAAATTCATACAACAGAAAAACACAGTGAGTGTAATGAAAGTGAGAAAACCATAAAGAAGTCATGCCTCACTCAAAACCAGAAAATTAACACAGGAGAGAAAAGCTTTGAAGGTAGTAAGTGTGAGAAATCCTCCTGCAAGAAGTTAAAACTTGGTCAACATCAAAGAACACACTTGAGGAAAAGAACCAATAAATGTAATGAAAGTGGGAGGGCTTTAAGTAATAAGTCAGACCTCACTCAAAATCAGAGTGTTCACAAAGGAAAGAAAACCTATGACTGTAATAAATGTGGAAAAGTCTTCCATAAGAAAACAGACCTTACTCAACATCAGAGAACACACATAGAGAAAAAACCCTATGAATGTAATGAATGTGGAAAGTCCTTCTTTGTGAAGTCCAACCTCACTGAACATCAGAGAACTCACACAGGAGAAAAACCATATGAATGTAATGAATGTGGAAAATCCTTCTGCCAGAAGTCAGCCCTCACAGTGCACCAGAGAACTCACACGGGAGAGAAACCGTATCGATGTAATGAATGTGGGAAAACCTTTTGTGTGAAATCAAACCTTACTCAACATCAAAGGACCCACACAGGAGAGAAACCCTATAAATGTGATGAATGCTGGAGGTCTTTCTGTGTGAAGTCCAACCTTGTTGTACATCAGAGAACTCATACAGGAGAAAAACCCTACCAATGTCCAGAATGTGGGAAAACTTTCTATGAAAAGTCAGCACTCACAAAACATCAGAGAATTCACACAGGGGAAAAACCCTATGAATGTAATGAATGTAGAAAAACCTTCAGCCAGAGGTCAGCCCTCACCAAACATCAAAGAAGAACACACAAGAAGAAAACTCCTGTCAACACTCTCCATGGGAGGGAGCCTGCATGTACAAGTCAAACTTATTGAACATCAGCAAGTTGCAGGGCAGAAATGCTAAGATGTCAATACATAGGGAAGTCTTTATCAATAGGTTATAGCTAATTGAAATGAGAGGATTAATATAAGAGTGAAACCCTTTGTATACTTGGAGTGCATGAAAGCTTTCAACAAGTACTCAAAGATGTTGAGGGGAAATATGTCATTTTAAGGAATATGAATTAAAATGTTATTGTAGAAATATTGTTTAACTAGAGATCATATTTCAGATGTAACACCAAACTTGTTACAGAAAAGATAACAGAAAATATTCAGTTTTAAATGGAATGTGAAATGTGGAGCTTTTGTATCCAATTATTAACTGACTAGAGGCCCAGTGCACAAATTAATGCACAGGTGGGGTCCTGCTGGCCCAGCCCAATTGGGGTGTTGGGAGCCAACTGGGGGCCAGGCCAGCTGGGGGAGTGCTGATCAGGGCCCAGATCAGGCTGGTTGGCTGCCACAGTGGGTGTCATAGCCACTGGTCATTCCAGTCATTCTGATCGTTCCACTGTTCCAGTTGCTGGGCTTTTATATATATAGATATGTGAATTCAACTTGTACATATTATTTGTGGTAACTTATTACTTTTTATTTTTATTTATGTTTACTTTGATTTTGTTTCTCTTTCACTTCCATCACTTTTTATATTTTGGTCAAGGTTCATATTATTTCTAAAAATACTAGGGAACAAAGAAAAATAATATAATCAAGAAAATCAAGAAGGCTAGGCCCAAATGATGAGTGGTGGAGATACTTGAAAAAGGTTTTGAATGCAGAAAAATAAATGAAAGGAAAAAAATCTTAACTATGATCCTTACACCAAAACATCACTTTTGCTAACATTCTAATGCAATCATTTCAAGCCTGTTTCTTGAAAATTAAATAGTTTATAAAAAGAAATATATATGTATATACATATATACAAAGATAATAAAAGCAATACTTATATATTCATGACCCATTATGAAGTTTACTCTCTCTAAATGTAAGTCCCTTCTTTTTCTTTTCCTTATTCTATTTTATTTTTTAATATATATTTATTGATTTCAGAGAGGGAGAGAGAGGGAGAGAGAGATAGAAACATCAATGATGAGAGAGAATCATTGATTGGCTGCCTCCTGCTCGCCCCCAACTGGGGATTGAGCCTACAACCCGGGCATGTGCCCTTGACCAGAATCAAACCTGGGACCCTCAGTCCACAGGCCAACACTCTATCCACTGAGCCAAACCGGCTAGGGCAGCCCCTTCTTTTTCCACAGATGTAATTGCTATCCTAGATTTTCTGTTAACCGTCCACTTATTTTTCTTTGTAGTTTTACTTCTTATATGTGTATCCCTAAGCAATAATACTGCTGAATTCTGTTTTTGAACCTTATATAACTTGGTATCTATATTTTTCCATTTTTTATTCAACATTGTTTTCAGATACAACATTCTTGATGTGTTTAACTGAGATAAATTCATTTTTATTGGTGTATATTTCTCCCCAGTGTATCACCATACCAACATTTATTTATCTAGTCTATCATGAATGGATTTGTTGCTTTCTGGTTGTTGTTTTTTAATTTTATAAAAATTATGCAATGTTGCAATGAAAATGTTTGTGATGCGTGTGGTTGCAGATGTACACATTTCTCTGGGACAGTGTTTTTCTGCGATGGAGCTCCTGGCCTTCCAGATGAGCCTCTTCTTCCCGTCCTTTCACTGACACATTGCAGGGTGTTTAGCACCTGTGGCCCTTCCACCCAGGAATGCCTGAAGCACTCTCAGTCATAGTGTCAACCAAACCACCCAAATATTTCCAAACACCTTTTAGGATGCCCAGATGAAAACTATTGTTTTAATGTACTAGTATGTACCTAGAAGTGGAATTGTTGGGGCATGTGACTGCTGGATTTTCACTTAAGATGTACAGGGTTTCTAATTAGATAGGGAAAGACTTTTTTAGGTATATTGGGCTATGTATAGGTACATAGTACAGGAGTGTGCTATGTAATATGAATTATATGTATGTCAGATTTTCATATTGAAATCCACACTGTCTCTGAATCTCAACAATACAGTCTACAGGGTGCGGCAAAGTAGGTTTACAGTTGTGAATACATGAAACACAGAGTTTATTCTTGTATTATTATTTATTATTGTATTCTCCATACTAACAACTATCAATCTACTTTTGCCTCGCCCTGGTAACCAATATCTGTCTCTGATGGCACCCATGGCCCCTGGAATCTCAAGCCTAGCTTCTGGTAAACTCTAACCATGGCCACTAAACACAAAAACAGGCTGGAGAGTCCATGAGCCATCCTGAAGCTGCAGGAATGCAGCTTGGCCTCAAACTCCAGAAAAACACCAAGAAGTCTCAGGACTAGAAGGCAGGAGTCAATTTTAATTCAAAATTTATTTCCTGAGGTCATGAAGGGCATTTCATTGGGCTGAAAACTCTGAAGAATAGAAAGTTGATTAATGTAGACATCTAGGTTCTAGATAATGTGATATATTGGAAAAGGATGAAATAATGAAGGGAAGCAGTTCTTGGATTTAGTCCCAGCACTTACAACAGATACTTTTTGATCTTGGAGGACTTACTTCACTTTTCTGAGCATCGATATTCTTACTTTTATTTATTAATTTTTTTATTTTTAAAATAAGGATGGCAATGCTAACCTTGCAGTAAATATTAGGGTTCATTGAGATGTTTAATTAAAAGAACCTAACAAACTGCCTTCTGTAGCATCAGTAGCAGCAGCAGCAGTAGCAGCAGTTGTTATAATTGTTGGTATTATTGTAATGGCTCCTAATAGGACTTTGTTATACTGCAAGCAATGAAGCAAGGGTGTATATGCCAGATCATGTTTACTCTTTAAATAGGCCTATGAGGTAAGTTCTCTTTCCATGCCCATTTTAAAGATGAGGAAAACGAGGCATTTAGATGTTCCTTGAGATTACTACAGTGATAAGGAAGCCAACTAGCAGACCCTGTCATTGAGCCCAGGTCTCTCTAGCTCCAACATTAGTTCTGCAGAGGTCCTTTTAAAACTACTTTTCTTTGTGTTTCACTACTGCTTTCTTTTGATTTATTTTTTTCCCATCACATCTTTTTCTATTCTTTTACTTTCAACCTGCCTATATAATTTTATTCAAAATGAGTTTCTTTTTGACAATATATAGTGGAATCATATTTTTAAATACCTTTGTCAATCTGTCTTTTTATTTAGACCATTTATCTTTAATGTAATTATTGCCATGTTAGATTTTAAGTCTGCCATTCTATTTTCTGTTTGTTTCTGTTTGATATAATTTTTAATTTCTGCTTTCTTTATTCTGCTTTCTTGAGGATTAGTTGAACATTTTTAGAATTCCACTTTTACTTATTTATAGTGTTTTTTAATGTATCTTTTTGTATAGCTTTTTAAGTGTTGTATTTTCAAAACTTATCATGCTCTACTAATTTAAAACTCCCAAAGAGGAACTCTCCAGGCCCAGCTTTCACTGTAGTATTCTAACAAGTGTGCAAAGGAAAAATAACACCAATTCTATACACTTTCTTCCAGAAAACCAAGAAGGCAAACAAAAACACTTCCCAATTCATTTATAAAGCTAGTATTCACTGACACCAAAACCAAAAACATTTTAAAATACAGTATAAAAAAAGAAAAATACAGACCAATATTCTTCATGAAAATAGACATACAAATCCTTAACAAATTATTAGCAAATAGAATTATTTATTAATTATATGAAAAGACATGCATATATAAAGTGAATTATATACCATAGAGTTCATTGCAAAAATGCAAGGCTGGTTCAATACTTGAAATAAATCAATGTAATCACCATATTAACAAACTAAAGAATAAATTATCTTTGGTGGCTATCACATGATGATATCAACCAATGAAGAAAAATCAAATTGCTCAAGGTATTTGAAAGTCATGACTTCTAACACAGAATTAGGGTAAGTAAATTGATACATCTTATTAAAATATCTAGAGATGATTAGAGCTACTAAATTTATGCAAACCCTAGGATAAACCTTAAAAGACTTGAGCAATTTATTAATAAATGTTTTTAAACTGGCATATAAAATTGTGTCTGTTAAGCCATGGATGTTGGTTGGTACCTATATATGTTTGCCTCAACAAGGGAATGAAATTTGCAACTACACACTTTGTCTTAAAAGTATTAAGGATAAAAATGAAACTTTCTTCTAACTCTCCACTATAAATTCTGTTAAAAATGCCTCAATAAGCTAATTCTTGTGGGATTGTTTGTTTTTTTCTCTCTGAAAAGGGGGTAATGCTATATTGCCCTCCCGACTTTCAAGGCTTAGTTTAAAAAATAGAAGAGTCTTATAGGGGACCTGAGGACCGTGAACAGCACGTGAAATCAACCAACAACTTCTATTTTCCTTGCCTTTTGGTACCCACCCACTGGCCTTTCATTTCAGTTTTACTTCAGACACCCAAAGGTAGTTTAAATATAAAAAGTATTGTAATACACATGTATGTATAGGCTTGCAGCTTTTTAGCCCTCGCAGTACTTCCATGGATAGATGCCACGAGACAAATGAAACAGAGGCACATAGCACTTAGCTCAGTGGTTCAGCTGGCAGGCAGGGAGGGGGGCTCCAGAGCACACACCCAGCGCTCACCATGCTGGCGTCCTCAGCACGAGTCCACGAGTCCTCAGAGCCAACCATTTGGAGTGTCATCCGTAGTCTTCACTGAGTTAAAAATCACTTTTTAAGAAAATTTTATTTGGGAAGAGTTCTTTAGAATAGCATTATTGTTTTGTGCACATTCAATAACTACGCATTCCTATTGGCATCATACTATTTCCTAGGGCTGCGGTAAGAGACTTGGTGGCCTTGAAACAACAGAAATGCCTTCTGTCGCAGTTCTGGAGGCCAGAGGTCCAAAGTCATGGTGTCAGCAGCGCCATGTGCCCTCTGAAGGAGAGAATAGAGAGGAGAATTCTTTACCTCTTCCAGCTTCAGGGGGCTTCAGGTGTTGCGTGGCTTGCAGTTGCATCCCTCTGATCTCTGCCTTGGCTTCCCATGGCCTTCTCCCTGAGTCTCCCCTCATCTCAACCTTTCTCTCTTTATAAGGATTTGAGTCACTGGATTTAGAGCCCACCCCAAATCCAGGATAACTTCGTCTTGAGACCCTTAACTTGATTGCATCTACAAAGATTCTATTTTCCTAGCTATCAGATTCACAAATACAGGAAGGTTGGTATCAAGTGCCTAAAACTGCGTGTATGAGTGATGGCCCCTATCGGAGAGTACTTAGTATTTTTGTTAGTACTGCTAATTTACATTAGTAAGTAATAGTCATTTGACTATTATGTAGTATGTCATATTTTCTCTTGTAGCTAGATTTAATACAATTCATTTGTTTTGCAGCATACAATAGAACTTCTGATAGTCAATATGATGCCTTAATTACAAGTAATTTGGTCCCTATGTATGAAGCATTCCAAAGTAAGTATATGTTTAGATTATTAATTTAAAAATACTGAAGTGACTCTTTAAAGTTACAAACTAAACATCTTTTATTGAAATTTGTTCCTGATACTGAGTCATCTCATTTTAATGTTTTAAATATAGGAACAAGAGGCTCTCTGACATAATTTCTTTTTAACTTACTTCACCTTTAGGTGACTTGTTAGAATTTTGATAAATTTTTTAAAAATATATTTTTATTGATGCTATTTAAAGTACATGTCTATAATAGAAAATATTTGCATGTTCAATAGAGGTAGATATTTTTAACACCTTATTTTTTTATTTTTAGAAATATGGGATTACTTCCACAGTGTTCTTCTTCTAGAACATGCCAAGGAAAGAAATGGAGTAAATGTTGTTAGTGGACCAGTATTTGATTATAATTATGATGGTCATTTTGATGATCCAAGTGAAATTACAGAGTAAGTAATTTGAAACCAAATGGACTTTTTGATTTAGCAACTGAGCATCATGAAGGGAAACCTCAATATTTTAAATAAAAGCTTAGTATTCTAAATATTACATAGTATATTTACATTAAAACATCATTGTTGACTGTTTTTAACTAGTCTATCTAAATACTTAGCAAAAATTTTATATGGCAAAATTTAAACTAATGGGCAAAGAAATAATGATGTCTAGGAAAAGTTTAGCAAAATTTATATTTGGAAAAATTCTAAACTAATGGGCAAAGGAAAAAATGTGATTTTGTAAAGGTTGAGATGGGGAAGACACTGTACTGCTGATAAATATACAACTAGTCCAGAAATAAATAAAAACAAAAAACAAGTAGTGACAATTCATAATATTGTCCAATAGTAGATGACTCATAAAAATATCTTCCAGGAGAGGGTGTAGGCTTCATGTTGAAAGCTAGTCCTACTTCATTACATTTTTGTACTAAACCTGGTCATTATAGGTTGCTAAGAATTACCTTTGGCTGCAGCACAGAGGAATAGAGAGATTTAAAAGTTTCATCCATTATTTCTCCTTATTATCAAAATGTATAAAAGGCCAAACTAAACAATTGTATTGTCTAAGCCTAGATCATGTAAGTAAAGCAATGATTTCTACCTGTACCTTCTGATAAAGTAACATATATGACTAGTCAGTATGTGCCCCTTTGTGTTTCATTTGCTTTGTCCTTATCTCAGTGTTTATCCATCGTATATTACACCATTTCATAATTCTGCAGACAGCTAGATAGCACTTTGCTACCCGCTAGGTGTTTTCTAAGCACTCACATATATTTCATTTAGTCCACAAAACACCCTTTGTTAGATTCCATTAGCCCCCATTTAGAGATGAGGAAACTGAAGCAGAGAAAAATTAAATAACTTGCCTACGTTCCACAACTGGTAGGCGGTAAAGCCAGAATACAAAGCCAGGGCAGTGCTGAGTCCACGCAGAAATTCTCAGTCGCAATCCTATGTTACTACTTACACCAGCTCATATTGCTTTTAGAGGACTCATACTAGCTTAACCTTATTTTGCACTTAAAACTTTCAAAAGCACTTTCATGTTTGTTATCTGAAACTGAAGGAATGTCATGTCAGTTGTATGGATTTATCCCCATGTCTACACTGTGAAGTCGAGGAAACTTAGTAGGTCACAGAATGCTAGAGGATTCGAACACATCCAGACATCCAGTGGGAGTGCATAGCTAGAGTTGGAGTCTATTCCGGGCTTCTTTCTCAGCCTCTGCTTTTAGACAAGGTCACTATGAAGTACAAAGTCAACAAAACTAGGAAACACAGGAGGTGTGATTATCATGCTCTACTTTTCTTTGTATTTTAATGTTTCCCCATAATGGTAACATAACCAAGCCCGGACTTCAATAGATCTCTGTTCTGCTCATTGCCACGCAAAAATACATGGTATGCTTTTGTACTTTCTAGTCATTTACTTTCTTTTTACTTTGGCATTTCTTTAAAATATACATCAAGGCATTTATAATCTTTAGAAGTAAATGTATGACATCAAATCTTTTCAATTATGTTTTTAGATATGTCAACAGCAGTGTTCCCATCCCAACACACTACTTTGTGGTGCTGACTAGTTGTAAAAATAAGAGCTACACCCCCGACACCTGCCCTGGGTGGCTGGACGTCCTATCCTTTGTCATCCCTCACCGACCTACTAACGTGGAGAGCTGCCTGGTGAGTATGCAGCGGGAGAGTCCCTGGGACCTAAGGAAAGGATCAGTCAGAGCTCATCTGGGCTCTCATAAAAGTGGCTCTGACTACAATATATTCTGTTAGTGTTTCTGGGTGGAGGTGTATGAAAAATATCTAACTTAAAAACTTTTCCTTAGACTATTGGTCTTTATGTAATTAATTACAATTTGAACATGTATGTGCCTACATGAACATGTGTTTATATATGCATATTTTATGTACTTACACTTTATTCACACTCACTAATAAGGGAAGGGGTGGTGTCTTATTAATATTTTGATTCTGAACACAAACTTGAAGGTTCTGTCCCAAAGTTGGCACTAGATTTCTTGAATGAATGTGTAAATATAAAAACTTCATCAACTTGAAACATGAGATCTGAAATTAAATATACATATATAAAAATATAAATATACAAAATAACTTAGTTCAAGTAACATTCCTTTTTGAATATCATGTATTAGTCCACCTTAAAATCTTTCTGGTTCAAGGCAAATTATGTATAAATAGTTACTTCAACTTGCATATATGTTATTTTTTTTAATTTAAATTCTTTATTGTTTAAAGTATTATATAAGTCTTCTTTTCCCCCATTGACTTCTCCCCAACTGCTCCCACCCCACCACCTCCCCCAACACATGCCCTCACCCCTCACCCCCCGCATTCCCTCTTAGGTTGGGCGGTTTCTTTGATGCTTCTATGTCTCTGGCTATTTTTGTTCATCAGTTTATGTTGTTCATTATATTCCACAAATGAGTGAGCTAATGTGTTATTTATCTTTCTCTGACTGGCTTATTTCGCTTACTCTCCAGTTCTATCCATGCAGTTGCAAATGGTAAAAGTTCCTTCTTTTTTATAGCAGCATAGTATTCCATTGTATAGATGTACCACAGCTTTTTTATCCACTCATCTGCTGATGGGCACTTAGGCTGTTTCCAAATCTTAGCTATTGTAAATTATGCTGCTATGAACATAGGGGTGCATATGTCCTTTCTGATTGGTGTTTCTGGTTTCTTGGGAAATATTTCTAGAAGTGGGATTACTAGATCAAATGGGAGTTCCATTTTTAACTTTTTGAGGAAAATACATACTGTTTTCCACAATGGCTGCACCAGTCTGCATTCCCACCAGCAGTGCACGAGGGTTCCTTTTCTCCACATCCTCGCCAGCACTTGTCGTTTGTTGATTAGTTGATGATAGCCATTCTGACAGGTGTGAGGTGGTACCTCATTGTTGTTTTGATTTGCATCTCTCGGATGATTAGTGACTTTGAGCATGTTTTCATATGTCTCTTGGCCTTCTGTATGTCCACTTTTGAAAAGTGTCTATTTAGGTTCATTGCCCATTTTTTGATTGGATTGTTTATCTTCCTTTTGTTAAGTTGCATATTTGTTCTTTATAGAAAAAAATATGTATCCTGATAATTGTGTTTTACTGAAGTTATTCAACAAATATACTGAGAACCTATTAAGTGCACAGTATTGTAATATAAACTTTTTAGAATGCACAAAGGAGGAATACAATGTCTCTTCCCTTAAGAAATTCACATATAACTTTGATATGTAAATGAGATACATAAATGAAATATAAATAAATATAAATGAAATATAGACATGTAAATGGACCAGTTGATAATAGAAGAATTATTTTTCAAATTAAAAAGTAAGAGATGTCAGTAAGTTAGAATTAATTGCCAAATAAGGATTTAGTGTTTCAATCAATAAGGGTAACATAAAATGTGGCGAGAGTAGGGATGGGCCCTGAAGGATGGGCAGAACCTGAACAGACTGAAAGGATTAGGAAGAATCTTTCAAGAAGGGAGTGGAGAATGGAGAGGATTTGCTCTTTTACTGGATGCAAGAGCCAAAGGGAAAGCAAGAGAGACTTAAAGATGAATCAGAGATTTTAAATGTAGATAATTATGAAAAAGAAAGAGGAAAATTAGGAATGAGAACTATTTGGGCAGGTAGATAGAATAATTAAGTTCAGGCATGTCCAGTTTGTAGAAACAGGCATTCACGTGGAAAATCTCATAGGTTAGTAGAGACTGGAAATTAAAGCTTAGGTCTTAGGCCAGATTAGGATTCATCTCTGTTCTTTCAGGTGTTCCCCACATAACTGTCTTCACTATCCTATGTACTATGGGAGACACACAGATACATCAGACATGAATTCTATCAAAAGGGCTATCCCCCTCTCCTCCCCCTCTCCTCCCCACCGGAATCGAACCTGGGACCCTTCAGTACCCAGGCCGACGCTCTATCCACTGAGCCAAACCAGTCAGGGCTCTTTAGAAGGAAGATAAAACAACCTCAAAAATTTTCAATTGAGGGGTTATTTTAAAGCAAATAGATGAACCTGTGATGGCTCCCTGGCTGGTGATTCGCAAAGTTAGGGATGATTTGGGGGCTTTTAAGTCCGGTGCCATGTCACACTTTGAGGTTTGATTTTTGTGGAGGTCACAGAAGGTAGACCTTTTCAAGAAGGGACATTTTACAAAGGGTGTGTGACAGTGGAGGCTCCCAAGCAGGCAGCCATGGACGGCTCAAGGCAAGAAACTGAGGCAGGCCCTAGCCGGTTTGGCTCAGTGGATAGAGCGTCAGTCGTCCGACCAAAGGGTCCCAGATTCAATTTCGGTCAAGGGTATATACCTTGGTTGCAGGCTCCTCCCGGTCTGGGCCCTGACTTTGAACGCCAGCTTTGCCATTTATCATTGTGTGGTTTTGACTCCGTTATTAAACCTTGCTGAGCCTCAAACCCAAGCCTAGTGCTCCTCCATGGCATATTACAGATGCTGGAGAAATAAATGAATGGGCTATTGAACTTACTGAGGCAGTTTCCCAAAATGGCCAGCAGAGGGCTCTAGTTGCGCATGAAAGGCTTCACCATTTCTCTGCTCTGAAAGACGCCTGCCTTCCAAACCACCTTCTCATTTCAGCCACCCATCTTCATTAACCCATATTAATGCATAGTGCTGGGGGGACATTTTTCACAGTTATGTGTGTTACTATGTTTCCATCAAAGAGTCAGATCAGGTTATTCTAATTAATTACAATACCACTACTTCCTTGCCTGCTTCAATTTTTGTGTGTTTTTTTTTCTTATGCAATAGGCATGCATTCTCAATAGGGGCAATATTGAACCCAAGGTGGTGAAAATTAGTACTTGCTCCCCCAACCCCTACCCCCACAAAAAAATTTTTAGATATTACAGTGGTTTGTGGCCCTCAAAACGCCACAGTACATAAACGGGTATATGGTATATCTATGGTATTAAATGTTTATGCGGAGGACACAATTAGTAAAAAATATTTTAAAAGTCTCCTTGCGGGTGGGGTTTGCTATAAGTTAAACTTGAACTCAAGTGTTCCATTCTAATCATCCCCACAAGTTTCCCCGTGTGCCTGCCTTACTCCCTCCTTCCCATTTCCCGCCCCTGCATCCCCCAAGCAACCACGGATCTGCTTTGTGTCACTAAAGATTCGTTTGCTTTTTTAAGAAACCGTTATATAAATGGAATCAAACACTATGTACTCTCTGACTTCTTTCACTCGGTGCAATTATTGTGAGATTCATCCATGTTGTTGGATGTATTAATAGTCCATTCCTTTTATTGCTGAATAGTATTCCATTGTAAGGATATACCACAATTTGTTCATTCATTCACTTGTTAATGGCTATTTGGGTTGTATTCAGTTTGAGGCTATCATGAATAAAGCTGCTATGTGTATCCATGTACAAGTCTTTGAATGGATATATGTTTTCATTTCTCTTGAGTTAATACCTAGGAGTGAAATTACTGGGTTGTATGTTGCTCTTTATAAGAAAGGGGCTGGTTAAAGTCCCATTCCCCAGGCTATGGGGCCCCTTCCCCATGCCACTGGGAGAGGCCAGCTTGATTCAGGAGTCTTTCCAAGGGAGACCTCTTAAGTGATGCAGATACCCACACCCACCCTTTGGAGAGTAGGGAGTTGGCAGCCACTTCCAACTGTGCCAAGATGAGTTATGCCACCTCTCTCCAGAGAAGACAACACACACACACACACACACACACACACACACACACACACACACACACACACATAAT